CTGGCTGAAATTTTTCCAGAAAAGCCTAGAATTTCTATATTTATTTTATCTGATTCTATAGTTTTTTTTCTTTTTTTTATTAGTTATTGAAATTTCAAAAGAATTGGATTTGGTTTGATCAATATTTAATAGTTGGTAGATTATAATTTTTCCCAAAAGTAGTGCATGAACTTATGATGCTGCTTTTGTTTCTTTTTGTCAGTTGGCTAATATTCTAATCTATTCCTTTAAATAAACATAAAACTGCTGAAATTCATAAAGTTTTCTTAGAATATTCTTCTGGATACTTCTGAAGAATATGTTATTATATCTAAATTAATAATAAAAATATAATATTTACTTATTAGGTTATTAGATAATTCTAATTGTTCTTCAATTGGTTTTGTTTTTTTATTTAAAAATTACTCATAAAAAGCACTTGGTGCTTTTCTTAATAATATAATTTGCTCTTGAACTAATACAGGTTTCTTAGTATTAGTTTGTTTAAAATAAGAATCTAAATAAGAATCTAAATCTAATGCTTTCTTAATTAAAGAATAACAAAACTCTGTTGAAATTGTGTTAGAAGCTTGCATTATTATAATTTTTAAATATTCAATAAGCTCTTTATAATATTTAAACTTATGTACATCTGAATTTGGATCAAAAAAAGGTGTTATCACTGAAAGCTCTTTTTCTAATAATTAAAAATTTAAATATAATTTAGCAACTTTCAACTTACTTCTTTTGAGGATATTATCTTCAGAAATTTTATAATATATTAAGAAACTTAATGAACTAACTGGTTAATTTATAATTTTTTTAAATCTGCTAGTTCAAATTTTGCAAATTTAATTGTTTTTATTAATTTTCTAACATATTTAATATTAACTGGCTCAATTGTAACAGTTTCTGTTTGATTTTTGAGTTTTGCTTCACATTTCTTGAGACATATTTCAATATTATCTAAATTAGAACTATAAGAAGTAGCACTTAATATTAAACAACTACTAATTATATTTGAGTAAATTTCTTGTAATTCTAATTTTTTTGATTAAGTAGATGTGAATGTTGATAAACCTATAAAATAAAATAAGTATTTAAATAAAAATAATTAAATAAACAATTATTTAATATATATTAGAAGACTTATTAGTATGTTGTTTCTTAATAGCTTGTATATATTCATTATTATTTTTTTTATCTTCATATTCATTTTCTTCTTTATACTCATTTTTACTTTCTCTATATTTATCCTTATTCTATTTTTTGAATTTGTTTTTGTCTTCTTTTCTATATTCATTTTATCTCTTTTTTTAGATTTTATTATTTCAATTTTATTAACAGTTTTCTTTTCATCTTTTTATTTAATTTAATTAATATATTATTAGTTAATCTATTTATTAAATATAAAATTAATTGCAAATTAAACTTACTATTTGATAAAAATATGTGTAGTTCTTTATATTTTATTTTAAAAACTTTATTTTTACTAGGATAGTTACTTTTGCTTTCAGAAGAGTTCTTATTTGCTTCAATTTTATAAGGGTTTTGATTTGTTTTACTTTTATAGAGGTTCAGACTTGCTTCACTTTCATGAGGTTCTAATTTGCTTCACTTTTATGGAAGTTCTAATTTGCTTCACTTTCATGAGGATTCTAATTTGCTTTATTTTCATGGGGGTTCTAATTTGCTTCACTTTTATGGAGATTCTGATTTGCTTCACTTTTATGAGGGTTCTGATTTGCTTTACTTTTACTTAAGTTCTTATTTGCTTTACTTACTTTACTTTCAAGAGAACTCTGATTAGCTTTGCTTTTACAAAGATTTTGATCTACTTCAAGTATTTCATCAATTTTGCAAGAAACCTCTCTTGCAAATTTTATGTCTTCTTTGTTGCCAATTTTATAAAAATAAAATCATTTTCAATAATTATTTTTGTAAGTAATTTCGATTTTATTTTCAAAAAATTCAACATGTTTAATATGATTGTTTATATTGAATATAACTGTTAGGTATAATGAACACATCAAATTGTTGTTAATGTAATCTAAAAAATTAAAAAAAAAATTAGCCATATTTTTAAACCAATTAATAATTAACAAAATACAAGTTCAGATTTTGTTAATCTATTATAGAATTATCTAATTTTTAAACAGGTATAGTTTATATGTATAATTTATTGCACAAATTTTTTTTGTTAATGTAATAGATTAATAAAATCTGAATTTGAATTTTGCTAATTATCTAGCTAATTTTACTGTTAATTAACAAAATCTGAACTTGGATTTTGTTAATTACTATATATAAAATTATATTAAGCAATTAATTACCTAATATAATTTTATAGTAATTAATAAAATCTGCATTCAGATTTTGTTAATTAACAAAAACTGAACTTGGATTTTGTTACTTACTATATATAAAATTATATATATAGTAATTAATTGCTTAATATAATTTTATATATAGTAATTAACAAAATCCAAGTTTGAATTTTGTTAATATTAATTAAACTGCAAATATAATATTTATCCATATTTAATAAAAGTTGTTTTTCATAGATTTATAAAAAAAATTAAATAAAAAAGCAGATATTTATATAATATTTAATTTTTAAACTTTAAATTTAATATAAATATATAATTTAAACTTTTAAATTTAAATTTAACATAAATAAGCTAATATGCAATAATGTAATTACAATTATTTTAATTTAAGCTTATGTAATAAATATAATGATTTTAATAAATATATTATTTTATTAATTTTTTTTTATATTTCAGTATTGTTCTAATGTTATCATGTGTTGGTATTGGTATTTTGGTATCTTTATGCTGTTATATATTAGTATTAATATCTTGGCATCCTTATGTTATCATATGTTGGTGTTGGTATATTGATATTAGTATCTTGGTATTCTTTTGCTGTTGTATATTGGTGTTAGTATCTTGGTATCCTTTTGCTGTTATATGTTGGTGTTGATATATTGATGTTAGTATTTTGCCATTCTTTTGCTGTTATATGTTGGTGTTGGTATGTTGGTGTTGGTATTTTGGTATCCTTTTGCTATCATATATTGGTGTTGTTATATTGGTGTTGGTATCTTGGCATTCTTTTGCTGTTGTATGTTGGTGTTGGTATCTTGGCATTCTTTTGCTGTCATATGTTAGTATTAGTATATTGATGTTGGTATCTTGGTATTCTTTTGCTATCATATGTTGGTGTTGGTATATTGGTGTTAGTATCTTGGCATCCTTTTGGTATTATATATTGGTGTTAGTATTTTGGCATCCTTTTGCTGTATATGTTGGTGTTAGTATCTTGGCATCCTTTTGTTGTTGTTACATTATTTATCAGATAATTTAATTTTTTTTTGTTAAATTTTCTTGGTGTCTTGGCATCTTTTGGCTGCAGTCATGTTATTGTTTATTAGCTAATTTGATTTTTTTTTAATGTTTTTTTTTTGGTTTGTCTTTTTTCTGCTTACATTTTTTTTTTATTAATCTAAGGTTTTTTTTTCTCTTTCTATATTGTATTATCTCAGCTTTTTGATATCATTTTCATTATATTTTTGGTGCCTTTTTTTTTTATTAGACTTTTAAATGATGATTGACAGGTAGGATGAATTTTTTTTATATTAAGTAATGAGCTTATTTGAAGTATTTCTTTATCATATTCCTATAACAAATACTAATAGATTTAGATTAGGGTTAGTAGGTATGTGTTGGTAATTAAAATAAAAACTATGGGTAAGAATGTTGAATATATTGTTAAAGTGCAAAATATTAGGTTCACAGAATACAGAATTAAGAAAATATAGCAAATTGTTGCTTAAAAATACCAAATGTCATGAAACATTGCATTATGGAAGAGGCAGAACAATTTGGCAAGACTAAGATGTGAGTGCAAGGTCTTGGTTTATTAATGAGATGGTTTTTACTAAGATGAACTAATGATGGCTATTCTAAATATTATTCTTTGCTTCTTTTAACTCTAAGAAAAAAAAGGCACTTATATACAAAAATGGTGCCACACAAAAAGAGATAACATAGGGGCCCAAGATTAAACATTTTCCCACTGAACTCAATAGTTTCAGATCCATTATTACAATAAGGACCTTGAATGACCTCATGTGGCACAAACAACTAGCCAATCTAGCAGATCTATTCTAACAAATGGCTATAGTTCCCAATTCTTCATCATTATGGCATTGTTTCAAATGGGTGACTTGGCTTTCAAGTTTCTTGAAGTACAATTGATGCACAATTATTTTCTTGTTTCAGGAGCATTCTTACTATAAGAGGGCATAAGTTAGGGCAGCACTAGGTTAGAGCAATTTTGGTACCCATTTTGTTTTAATAGTATGTTAGTATAAGGTTAAGTTTGGATTAGCATCAAGGTTAGAGAAATTGATAGTTAACAGCTTGGTTAGAATAACATTTATTACTAAAATCATTATTTATCATGACAAATATATAATGAATAACTATGATAAGTTTAGCCACATATTTATTAGCAGGTCTTTATTCTATTAAGACTTTTACTATATATAATTAGAGTAGCTGCATAATGTAGTGATGAACACCAATTATTCTGTGCAATCTATTTCAAAGTATTATGCATTATATAAATTAATTAATGATGTATGTATAAGGAAAATATAATTTTTGTATTTGTTTAAACTGTAAATAAAACTTGATTCAATAATATGATAGACAACTTAGAAATAAACAATCTATATTTCTTATATAAAATACCAAAAATATTACATTCTAATAATAGAAGGCTTCAATAGTCTGAATAAATTAGTAATGCAATCAAAATTTAACAGATCAGCCAAAATTTTGGTTAGAATAAGCAGAATTGATCAATTTTTTCTAAAATCATCTGAAGTTTTACTAATAAACTAGTAGTTCATATACTAAGTAAAAGTGCCCAAATGATAATTTTGTTATAATATAGTGGACTAGTATTTTTGCTTAATGTCAGTCTAACTTCAGTCTATTTCCAATTCTAAATTTGAGCAGATTGTTTGAATTTTTAATTATGTGACTAGAGATGTTAACATTTTGGTCATGACCATGACTGATACAAGTTTGGTCACAAATTCTAACTAACTGAACTGAGTATTTGACCAATACTATTTTTTGTTATTTATCATTATAATAATTTTTAAATAATTATTATGATACAAAAATAGATTTAATTATATGGATTGTGCTGAATTATTGTTATATACAAATTTAACCAATTTAGCTAAATAATATTTAATAGATAAATGTATATACCAGGAATAGAGTATAGAGTACATAGTATATAATTTGTAAACAAGTAATGTGCCTATATATAATTCTTAGTATTTGATTGGTCTGCATGATTCTGTTTGTTATGTATTGTTATGTATTGCCTATTTTTAATACTTTAAATATGTGCAATAACTTGACTATTGCACCTGTATTTGTATATATAAGTGTATATTATCTAAAATATTGTCTTAATATATAATATGACCAGTACCTGAAACTAATTTTATTATATTTATTTAAGACTTTTTTTTCCTATAAGTTTTTTCTAGACTAAAAGTCTAAATTTGTATTTATCTCTATTATTAAATTTAATTAAATTTATTTTTATAATAAAATATTATATTATTAAATATATATATATTATTACAGATAATTATAAAACAACTCTTTCTGTAAATTCTTTTACACAAAATAACAAAAAATTTGGCATCAATAAAATCGCTAATAACTGGTTATTTTACTAAGTTAATCAACTTTGGTGCCTTAATAAACTTGTTCAGCATATAATTTCACATATATTCTGAAAGTTACAGGTCTTTAACTTTCAAATTTGCAGTTTAATACTGCTAAAACAGCCTTTGGCTTTTGTAATCAAACTTTTAACTATTTCTCATCCATTATTCTTTTAATCCACAATATTGTCTTAATAAAAGTTATAAAGTATCTCTTTCCGATCAAAACAAATCTAAAATGAAGATTGTAGCTCCAAAACTGATGAAATTATAACAAAAAATACCTTTAACTTCTCTACTGCTCTTTAAAAAATTACTTTGTTCTTATCCCCAAATTTTCTCTCTTACATGTTTTTCATGCAACCTTAAATCATTAACAAAATTGGTTTCAATTAATATTATATTGCATAAATTAAATTTAACCAAAAAAGAATCTTTTTTTTACAAATTGATTTGTATTAACTTACTAAAAATAAATTCTATACTCTAATACACAATAGTCATTGTAGTACATAACTAATTATAAGTTTGTGTCACACCAGCCACACCAGCTACATTAGCCACACTTGTATTACTTAGGTTATACAAGGTTATACAAGTCACAATAATATCCCTGCAAACTCAAATCTTACACTATAATAAACTTATAATTATTATTTTACTTTAAAGTCTTATATTTTTAAAATCTTACTAAGCAAAACAAGCCCAGTTTTCTAAGTAATCTTATTCAAAATGCCAACTTTAGTAAGCTCTGAACCTGATTTTATTGATCTGAACTACTTCTATAAAAAATTTCCAAAAAGTTTTGATATTGGGATCTATAAAGATATGCCAAAAATATCATATCCAACACCTACAAATAAACAATCTAATAATTGTATTATTACAGAACTTAGAGACAGTATCAAAACCTGTTATTATATTCAAGCATCTGTTACTAGTACTACAGTCATCTATCTATATGAAAAATACTATACAAACTTTTATTCGAACAAAAATATCATCTATTAACAACATTAAAATATTACTGTTATTAAAAAATCAAAAGATAAAAAATTATTTGTAACAAATACTGTTAACTCTACAAATGTTATTTTACCATCTCCCACTTCCTCACCTTTATCATCTCTATATCAACATACTTGTCCTAAATGCAATCAACCTATTAATTATAAAGTTATTTATAACAGACACTATCTAGCTGCTAATAACAAACTTTCTAATGACAAACCTTGTCACAAATCTTGTATTAATACCCAATCTGAACCTGAAACATAACCTATTACCAACTTAGAACAAGGACTTTCATATGCATTTCCAATTCATGAACTTGAACAATCTCTAAATGTATATCATAATAACAATCCACTCATTTCAGAACTTAAGCCTTTAACTCCTACTAATGAAAATACAACAAATAATACAACTACTAATATTACTGATATGGATATTGATAGCTCTATTCCACCTGATACTAACCAACAACATCAACAACAATTAACACAATAACAACAACAACAACAAGTATTTAAACAACAACAACAATAACAAAAACTATATGAACAATCACAACAGTCCTATAGCCAAGCTGCAAGACCAAAACTCAACCTATTATTTGACTGGTTAGCAAACTTTCTAGTAACTGATAAAATGAAAAATAATACTAAACTACAAACAGAAATTTTACACAACTTATTCAACTTTCTCAAAGAACATCTATATAACTTCTTTCCAAGAAAAATTATTAGAGATGTAACAGAAAATTGCTATATTCTTAAAGCTAGCTTTTATCTTCTTATTTAACAAATAGCCATTACTAAATCTAAATTTCTAACTGATTTAATCCAACAACATAATTCTAAAACTGATCAGTCTGCTACAATTTTATTTAATATTCTTAAGAAAACTCTTAAAAAGCTTATTCATATATATACTACTATACTTTTACCAAGCTTAACTATCCAGAAATTTTTGGTTTACCTACTACTATTTCATCTCATAAAACCCAAAATCATTTAAAATTTTGTATCAATTTAGCATGACTTCACTTATACTTATCAAACAATTACCAGACTATTAACTATATAAAATTTGCAAAAAAATATCAAATTTAGGCCAAAAAGATTTAAACAATATTAAAAGTTACTAGTTATGACAAAAACCAACAATATTTCTCTATTAAAATGAATAACTATTTTAATATTCAACTAGAATTTAACTTCTT